TTGCCATCACGCATCACTGCGGTCAAGCGCCGGCCGTTGAGCGAGGCCGGCATCGTGGTTGCTGGCTTAGCTGCATCTGCCTTGGCTTTGGCTATCCGCTTAAGCTTCTGCGTCAGGGCGAAGCGCTTCTGAAGCTCCTTGGGGCGTGGGGGGGCCGCCCACACCACCTGGGCGTCCCGCGCCTTGGCCTGGGCTGACGCCGCCTGGCCAGCCTGGGCCGCCTCCTGAACCTCCGCCGGCGGTACCAACTCCCAGGATTCGTGGTGGGTCAGAGCCGCCACCGCGCCCACCATCCTGTGCTTGGCCAACAAGGACGCCGCGTACTTGGCCCCGCTGTAGTGCAATGGCATGCGAGCATCCTCCGGGACGTCACCTTTGGTCTGCCAGTCGCCCAACGCTGCCATGTCGAGGGCGCTAAACCCCACCAGTTGGCCCACCGTTGTACCAACCCGCCGGAACGAGTATGACGAAACCATCGCCGGGTTCTCCACCAAGTCCGCAAACTCGTGCCGGACCATCCGGTAGACATCAGACAGCGACCACGGGATCCCCTCCCGACGGAACGCCAGCCCGCAGTCTGCCTTCTGCTTCTCCGGCGCCAGGGCAAAGTCATGGAGCCAGGCCGCCGACCAGTCCCACCCGGTTGACAGCTGTCCGGGCACGCAGAAGTCGAAGCCCTTGCGCAGTCGCCGCTGCTTCCCTTTGCTGCAGTGCGCATGGACCGTCGACATGGTCACCTTCCGCACCTCCGCCCGAGTGAGGTGCTTGTGGCGTAGAACTCCTCCATAGAGCATCCACGCCGCCAGCAATGCTTGCCAACGATCATCGCCCTGCGTGTAGAGCTCCTCCATCCGCTGCTCCATCTTCAGCAGCATCACCGGTTCCACCACCGCTGCCTGCCCCCTGGGCCCTGCCCAACGCGCCTGTCCCGCAGGCGGCGTGAGCATGCCCAACCCCAGATCCACCCTCGCCTGCTTGGTCAGCCAGCGCAGTGATTGAGTAGCACGGGCCGGGGCAGCTGTTCCTTCGTTTAGGAAAACATCAAGGTCGACCACTTCTGGCGGCAGCGGTCGAGAACGCGCCTGCATGAAGGTGATCACCTCACCCCATGTGCGCAAGGCATTCAACACCGTGGCCCTCTCCGCCTCCGTCACCAGCCGCTGCGCCAAACGAGTACATGATCCTCTCCACTCGCGCCGCAGCTGCTCCGTCAGGACTCCTGTCGGCTTCATCGCCCCCATGTCCTGCAGTGCCTCGCTGAGCCGCTGGACCTGCATCGTGATCGCCTCCGGTTCGGCTTGAACTGCTCGAAGGCGTACCGCCGGAGCCCTCGAAGGCCGAGGGGCCAGAGGCCGAAAAGGAAGGTGGACAGCCGTCCCCCGGCTCTCGCCCTCCACCACATCAGCCGCGGCCGGCAGCAGCTCGGACTCCTGGGCGCTACGCACCCGCACCCACGAATTGGCCAGGTCTCCTCAAACGAGTGGAAGGCGAACGCGAAGTCCGCATCATTCTGCAGCCCGTGCTCGCGCCTCCACCTGGCGGTGTGCTGGGCGCCCACCGCCCCCAAAGCCGACTCCGGGTCCCACTGCCCCCCGGCGTCCCCCGCCAGGCGAGCGTAGATCCCGGTCGGTACAGCTGCCATGGCGCTAAGGACCCCCCAGAGAGACCAAATGGCTGAGGCATTCCTCGCAGATTGGCCTGTCCCGGATGACGTGCCGTGTGAGGGCACCACACCGCATGCAAGGGGGGGGAAAAACACGCTCTCCCGCTGCAAAACCAGCCAGCCACTGGCCCAGAGCCTTCCCGGCCCACGCAGTGGCCCCATCGCGACTCTCCCAGTCGCCGGAGGGGATCGGCTCATATGCCGGCTCTCGCCAAGAGACACGGCCTGCCTGCCACCTCCTCCACGCCCAGAAGACGGCCTCCCGATCGAGGCCACACTCCTCAAGGCCGGCCAACTCCACGTAGCCAATGAAGCGCGCCATGTGCTCGGGGACCAGCTGCCGCACTCGCATGCCCGAGTCAAGGGCCCGAAGCTGATCCTCATCCAAGTAGTCCCGGCCCGCATAGTAAAGGTCCCAAGCTGCCGCCGGGCCCGCCTCTGCTTGAACCAGGACTGCGCGTTTGGTCCATATCCCGAGCCACGGGAACTGGAACCCCCCACGCATTTCTGTGCACCTAGCACACCCTTCCACCATGCAGGGGACCTCCCGCAACGACCCCAGGGTACGAATGCGAAATTCAGAGGCCTCGGTTGGGCCACCACCACAACTTCCCTCCACAGCCGAACGGCCTGGTCCCGTTCCCCACGGGCCAGCAGTCCTTGCACGTGGGCTTCGAAGTCCAGGAGGGCCGCCGGGTGCAACATCCGCGCCTGAGAATGGGCCACCAAAGGGCCTGCATCGGCGCCAGACATACCGGAGTCCCACTCCAGTCAACAATGTAACCGAAACCAAAAAGGTGTCTGCCAATTTGGCTCAGTCTTGATCCAAAATGGCAGACCCATAACAATTGATGATACATGTTCACCCAATGCCTGCCAAGCTCTAAACATGGCATAGATCCAATTGTCCGTCTACAAGAAGGGATTGAAATCCCCAACCACTCCAGACTCCAAACACCAATGTGGAATTATGCATTTGCACATGGGGGCGGATTGCGGGGACGGCCCTTCACAGGAAGTGACTACATTCCATGTTTCAACCCATGTGAGCCCGGCAGCGGAACGCAAAGAGACCGCAAAGCCAAAGATTACCACGTGGGCGCGCGTTGTGATTGAAGTCCATAGGTAGCTAAGCGCTGCAGGGTTCCTTCGAAAACCCTGGGACCGTTCCTTGGACCCCCTAAGAATTCCATTCGGCTGCAGTTTCCCTTTGGACACCTTAGGAAATCAAGCGGGCCTCTCCAGCGTGGAAGCCCCTCCACAAGAGGGTCCAGTATGGTTCTACTAACAAACCGACCATTGACCATGGCTGCCACACCGCTAAACCACTACCTCAAGAGGACCTAGCCACAAACAACAAGTATCAAATTCCAGATGCAAACTGCTTGCAACTGTTTGCCGAACTGAGCACGTATACATGTCGTTGCCTCCAAATGGGGAACCTCACGAACCTGGAACGGGCACTCTCAAAAGGGGAAGTGCTCACATGTCCAACCGGTACGCATCTCGACGCATCTCCCTGAGAATGTCAGAGCCACCTCACAAGAAAATCCATCGAAAACTCGGGCCGCGTTCTTGGGTATTAAAGGCTCTTTCTTGGGGATTCGAATCCCGTAATGCCAACCTGTTGTCCAAGAGAAATGAAGTCAAAAGGCGATCACAGTTTGGTGGTTGAGTGCCATGCCACGAAACGACGAAAGGCGTTCCCGCCCATCCATGGAGCGGTACTTTGGGGACGGGATTGCCAGGTCCATTCATAAGACGCAAAGTCCAAGTCACACACCTTGCAACACGCCCCCCCCCCCAAAGAAAAACACGGCTTATGAAAGAAAACACTTCAATCATGTCAGCCGTCTTGGCTTTCGAAACCCTTTGTTTTGCCCATTCTGACTCGAGACATTTTGAAACCATTTGTTTTAACATGCTCAAGCCGGCAGCCCTTTTCCAACCCTTGTGATGCCAGCTCGACTTGAGGGTCATGAAAGTAGACCAAACAAAGGCCACCAGAAGGGTGAACAAACCGAATTGCAGCTGCCCGGCGAGGTGGGCGGTAGAAGAAAGGAGCAAGCATCGTAGTAGTGGGTCTCGTTTAAGGTGCTCTGTTGCTAGCCGAGCGGGTTGGGAACCCTTGCTTCACCCTCAGGTGGGGGCGCCGCGGCCAAATGCACATGGAATCCACGAAGGGGACCCCAAAAGGAGATTCATGTTGTTTTGTGGGTTCCGTGTGGTTTGCAGGAGGTCGAGAAAGCACCGAGTCACGGGCAGTAGCCACCTGCCCGTCTACCTCCCATGCAGCGGGTACTCTGGCGATTCAACCACTTCAAACATCGTAGCCAGAGAGCCGCGAGAGAACGCACCGCCCGAGGTTGGCAGAACGCTTAGGGTGCCGAAGCCGAAAGGTGGGATTTCAAATCGGTTTCCTTTGGGGCTTGAAAAAGGAACCAGCCTAATTGAGCATTGTTTTTTTTAGAGGTTCAGGGCTTATACACTGCTGGGGAGGCTACGCGATGGGCTTCGCGGGGCCAGAATTTGTGGAAGGGTTGGCTTCGCGAGGCTTCGCGGCAAGACTGTGGCTTCGCGGAGTGGCTTCGCCGGGCTTCGCGAATGTTTGTTCCACAAACATCTCGCCCCCATGTTGTTGAATCAAGTTGCGTCCATGCGAAAGGGGGCGATGAAAGGCGGCAAGAGAGGCATTGAGCTTCAGGACTAGGGACATGGCTAGGCCTCAAAGGGGCGGAGCATGGAAGTTGGACCGCGGTGGCTTCGGCGAGGCTTCGCGGAGGCTTCGCGGGGGCTTCGCGGGGGCTTCGCGGGGGCTTCGCGAAAACGCTCCATCGTTTGTAGCAAAACCGGGCCTGAAACGCACAGTGCTCTTCCGGTCGTCTTCCCGTAATCTTCCCGTAATCTTCCTGTAATCTTGTCGTAGCCTGCTGACTCTAAACATTAACATGTGGAAGCGCACAACACACTTCCCATGAAAGCACGCAAACCACGAAGTGGCTTCGCGAAGTGGCTTCGCCTGTGTCAATGTTGCCGGGCTACGCCAAGTGGCTTTGCGGGGCTTCGCGCTACACAATGTATCGCACAAGTGCCTTCGCGGAGCTTTTGGGAGTTCCCCACGAAGCTAAAATCCATCATCCGAGAAAAAAACGCTGCTCAATTGAGACATGAAACCAACCAGGGTACCAAAGCCTAAGCAGGGCTTCCACAAAGCTTCCCCGCATGTTCCACTGGCGGCGCAAGAACTCATCGAAAAGTGTCATTTTCACATTGTGATGTAAACCAAACGGCTGATTGGGGGAAATATAAGGGCCCTGCGTCTGTGGAAACAGCTGTCCTCGTCCAGATCTTCTGAGTCCACGTCCAGGTCGTCCCCCTCCTGGACCGGCGCAACAGACTTTCGGGGGGGCATCGTTCATTTTTTACATTGAAGCCTGGATTTTGGAGTTCCAGAATCCCGCCTTTGCAACTGGAACATGGTCAAAGTCAACAATAGTCCGGCTGGTCAGGGCTCTGATTCGAATTCTTACGGAGTGACAGCCGCCCGAGCCCAAAGTGACCAGGTCGAATCGTGGCAGTGAGTGGGGGAGTCATGTCCGAATGGCCGGGGACCACTTCCCTCTGAATCCAGCCGTTGGCAAATATCACATGACCAAAGGTGTCTGAGAGACATGCGGGCACGCGCAAACCAACCAACAAAACCAGGAGCATACCAGCACGTGGAAGCATGTCCGAGTGTTTGAGGGCAAGTCCAGGGTTCGACTTCGCGTAGCTTCCGCGCGCTCCTCCTCCGGCGGTTCGGGGGTCGGTGCTTTTGGCTCCTCCGGCAGCTTGCCGTGGTCAAAGAGCCAGGTCCTGACAGCCTGGGGCCGGGAAATTACCCCGCGAAGGAACGTGGACACCAAAAAGGGGGTCCCCCCAAAGGGAGATTCAGAGGGCGCCTTTTGGAGCTCCATGATTTCTTGAGGGCACCCATCCCTCCTACGGGCACATACGGGAGAGGAGGGCTGTGCCTATCATGTGGCAATTATCTCACTTTCTCTCGTAAGTGGGATGGAAGAAGGGACCTAAATATATTTGTAGAATATGGCAAGCTCTTCAACTGTTCATCGCAGGGCCGCAGCTACTGCCAGCAAACAATCCCACATCACGAATTTCTTATTTTTAAGGGGAGAGTCCCGACGGAAAATTACCCGCAGGGTTGTGATTGAGTTGGGTTGATTGTGCCGCTCCTAGCTAAACAGCACGTGCTGTGAGGCTCTTGTCCTTACCCTCTCTCGTAACCACAAAGGCAAAATGTATTTGGAAGGGGTTGTGAAAATGAGCCAATGCCAAGGTGGTAATTTCCCATGACTTCTTTATCATGTTCAAGGGAACGCCCTTATCGCCACAGCTGTCCCTAAACCCAAACCTTCCGCAGCCGTACAGTGCAGGTTGTGGTTGGGCCGCCCTCCGACCTTCAAATACAAAACACAACGCGTTTACCTGCCTCTTTGAATGGGCAAAGAAGGCCGGTCGAAAAAGGATCCCTCTGCTATCACAAGCGGCGGGCAGTTTCCAAAACCTTGGGGCATGAATACCTGTTCCAAAGAGGCGCATGCCTCGAAACAGAACCTGCAATGACCCCTTGTATTTATAGTTTCGAAGAAGGTAGTTGTCAGCGGCAAAATTTGATCCCCAAACTCTGGCGCATACAAATACACAGCCATGGCACCAAGCGCCGCGTCTTTTGGGGACATATATCCCAATCCCCTGTAAACTCTGGTTCCTAACATACATAATTGCAATTAAGGGCCAAACACGGAACCACTGAGGTCCCTAAGCTCCGACCCCCAAGCCGCTTGCCACAGCGACAGCGACAAGCCCCCGCGCCTCTGCGAGCTGAAACCTAGGCTTTTTGCTCGCCGAAAAGCACCAAACGCTTCAAGCAAGTTTCTCGGGGAAGCCACAACTTTCTCAAAAACACGGGATTGAAAACAATGTCCTGCTCCCCCCCAAGACAAACCTGGCACAACGCCTCTGCACGACGCCTCTTCAAGGCCAGCTTTCAGGAGCGGTCTAAACACCACAATGCATATCGTATCAGTGCCAAAGCATGCTCCGTTTGCTCGCGACTCCTTGTATGACATTCAATTGGGAGATAACACAACTTCTTCGGCAAATGTTCAAAACGGTCTAAATAATATGTCGGTCAACCACATCCGGGTGCTAATTCAAGCTTAGACCCGAGTAATCCACCTTGCCCATCCCCTTGCGTCCAAGCACCTTCAAAATCAGCAATCCAGCAAGTGGGTGTCTGGTCGTCCTGCGAATTCCCTCTTACTCCCGGCCCCCCCTCAAACAGAAGCAAATCTAGGAAAACGAGCCAAGAAGCAAGGCCTCGTTTCCGGCCGCGTCTCGAAGTGCCGACTCCACCACTTCTTCCAGGGACGGCGCGCCAGCTGCAGCATCCTCAGGAAGACCGCCTGCGTGGAAGAGTGCCGCTGCAGATAGGGCCGAAAAGGGAGAGTTCAGATTCTGGCTCCTTCGAGTTCTGGAGTTAGTGGTGCACCCCTGCAAAGACTGATCACTGCCGTATGAGCAGTTGCATAGTTGATGTATCCAGTACTATGCAACTATGAAAGTCAACCCCTTAGTGGTGGCGTAGGTTAAACGGAATCAAACCCCAGCTTTGGACTTTGAGAATCCGCAGGAAGCGGTCAAAATCATGAATTTCTGGTTCCCCCCCGCGCGTCCAAATGAATCTCGCCAGTTGGTCAGGAGCTAATTTTGCGCATAGCTCTTCATAGAAGGAGTTAGTAGGGAACAGGGGAGGCCCACCCACCAACAGCTGTGGCTGAAGCAAGCTGGTGCGTGAAAAAGACATGCTCATGAGCCAAAGTCAAAGAGAAGCCCTCCTTCGACAAAAGCTGACAAGTTGAAACAATATTCAGGATTCAAGGGATTCCCACAAGGAAACCTAGATGTCTGTGAAACTCCTGTAAGTGTGCCTGCAGATTTCAACACTTGAATCAGGCCTCCATTTGTGTTTGGGACGCTGCTTAACAACGAACCGCATACTTTCTGTCCATACAAAGATGACAGCTGCGTCTGGAACTCTAAGGGTCCTGGTGCCATGCTCGCGAGGGGAGCTTGGCATACCTCAAAGAAAACCAACACCTGGGCCCTCGCGAAAGGGGATAGACAACACCAACTCAGGGTTTGCACCTGAACCAACCCTGAATGGTGCTCGAGGCCGGGATGTCCTCAACGAAGAAACCCATTGAAACTGAGACATCCAAAATCGAAACTCGCTCATCCAAAGAGCAACCAAACGGACCCCTGGGCAAGCCACCAACAAAAGTTTAAGGTCGGGCGGTGCTTTATGAGTGGGTTTGCCTTCATGTGCTTTATGAGTGGGTTTGCCTTCATGAAGCAAAACACTGTTTGGCTGGATTTTACGGTTTGAAGAACAATACTTGGAGACTACTGGGCATGCAGCGTGCAATGCCAAACTATATAGTGGGCGCAAATGACTTGGAGCTTATGGGATTAGGGTAGCCAAGGGGCTAAATGCAATTGAGAATGTTATCGGATGATGACTTGGGACTAAACTGCACCCTGGTTTCAAAAAGCACGAGAGTTGGGACTTCGTGCTGAATTGGAACCCCTGAAAACATGTGTGGGGAATTATGCTATCTGTTGCCTGGTGACACGTGACTTTCAAGTGATTGCGGGAGTGACTCAAAGAGCACACTCCTAGCTTAACACGAAATGCCAACACTAAATGTTAAATTAAGCAATGGGAATCTAAGATTAAGCCTTGGCAATGCCAAAATCGAAATGGACATACTAAATGAGGCATTGGCAAGTCCAACCCAGAACCCCACCCCCCACCTAAAGAGGCTCCAAAGGACTGTTGGAACTCTTCAGAGGGTTATGTTAAAGAGGGTCCAACATTAAAAGTCTGCCTGCGGAACACGCCTTCCTGCGTGCTAATGGATGAATTCTCGATCGGGAAAGTAACTCAATGCTTTTCAAAGGGGTTTCCCTTGGTATCATAGAAATTGGGCCTGCACTCCTGCAAATTAGCACGGAACTCCGAAACCCGCGTTTTTGAATCCTCTTGGGGCATCCCTGTTTGGGGTTCCATGATGGTATGCAGGGTGTGAAACCCAACCTCCCAGAGTACAGTGGCAAACACTCGGCGTTCATGCCATCACACCTTCTTAACTGCCGATTCTGAAGGCTTCGAGACTCTTCTGCCAAAACCGCGGGGGGGCTCCCAATAGTTTCCCCCTTCTGACACCCTACGGGAAGCTCACACATGGGCCAAACATGTGCTGTTGCAACCACGCAAAGGGGACATATACGGGGCAAAAAAATCCGGCGCCGGGCCTGGGGTGACCTTCACCAGGGGCCCACAAGTGGTCGGATAGCCCTCCGGCAGGTCAATGTCCAGCCGGGCCGTGGCGAAACGTGCGCCTGGAAGAACGGCGTGGCCAGCCGCCCGCGGAATTGGTATCACCAAATTGATGAACGGCCGATGGACCGTTAAAAACTTACAAAAACTCAGAAACCGGGTAAAGGACTGTCTGTCACGAGGCGTCATCGGCTGGTTTTGCTCGGCATCATCGGCTCGTTTTGCTCGGCACACAATTCTCAAAGTTCCCCAAAGTGGGTGACCCGGTGACCCATGAAAATGGGTGCCCTTTTGATACCGTCACACACAAACAGCTTCCCCTCTCTTGCGTCTGCGCTGGCGCCAGCACGCCATTTTGGCACCTCGCCGGCGGTCAACGCGGCTATCGGGCCATCCCTTTTGGAAAGGGGAGATGCCTAGCATCACCCAATTGACGGACATTTTTGGTATCCAACGAATAAGCCAATTCCCAGAACCGTTGAAACCCAAATCCACATTTGCCATTTTCTCAAGCCTCCTGGAAGAAATAGTGATACATTCCCTTGGCAACCAAGAAAAATATAATTCCCCTCCTGCTCACTCACGTGGAATTCACCCAGAGGGCCCCCTCCTGAAAATGGTCTCTTCATGTCTCTTCCAAGGTCTTCCAGGACTTTTCAGTGAGGTTTTGTGGACAGGGTAGCACTTCTGATTTTCCAACCGGGGGATTCGACAGAGGCTCAGAGCTCCAGGCCATCCCCGAAGTGCTGCTGCACAGGGCCCAGGTCCACGTGGGTGCGGATCTGGCGCAACCAGCCCTGGCCCTGGTGGCCCTGGAAGCTCGCGTAGCCGCCCAGGAAGGGCGTCATGTAGCCTTAAAAGGCCCCAGCTCCCAAGCTCCAAGCCTTTTTTTTTCTTTTTTCGAGGCCCCACAAATGGGAAGTCCATTTTTCGAAGGCTCCAAGCCCATTGGAAGTGAAAAACATCCGTGGAGCTCTGCAGGGGTTGAAATCCCCCGCGTAGTTGAGGGACACTTCAAACACGGACTGTTTTGCAAGGGAATCGTCTACGTCAGCCGGTAAGCCTTTCTCTTTTGATTGGCCCACATGCATCATTCAAGCTAAGGGACCCTGGCAATGAAAAGTCTCACCTTTCGTGCCAATGCCGAAACAGGAGCCCCTTTAGGACAAATCCCTCCATATGATGTTGTACAACCGCCAGGCATTTCCCCATCGCAACATTGCACCAGTTAACCCTTTTCATGGAACTGCGATGCTTACACCTTGCCACACACAACAAAAAAGACTCTACCGTACTGAATGCAACAGGACTGCTTGAGCGTTTACAGTCCCAACAAAAAAGACACGAAACCACTGCGGACCCTGACAGAGCTCTCAGGGCCTCCACCGCCGTGTGGCACGGGCTTTTGGTTGCGGCCCACTTCAAATACCTCCGGAAGTTGTTCGGAAGCTTCCGGACATTTTTGCAGCGGATGTTCGTTGGCGCAGCCCGATCCCAGATGCTTCCGCAGCCATTGCTTCCGAAACGTTTCGGAATCTTGCAGCATCGGAACCTTCCGGAACCCTCCAAAAATGACCGGCGGATCTTCAGCGGCGTTTCACTCAAATACCTTTCCAGCCCCGACCGCTCGGAACTCCTCGGATAGGAACCTACCGCCGATAAAAAACAGGCCGTACTGGCAGATCACGCATTGGAAGACCGACCAAGGTGAACGATCGATTTCCACGGACAGACTGACATAGCTGAACTGCTTCCATGCTCGTCCTGGGATCAAAAAACTAGAATCGGACGGAGGTCTGGACCCGGATTGCGCCCGCAACATCCTCCAGGGTCTCGGCCAAGTTGGGCAAAAGCTCTGGCCCACTGGCACAAACTGGCGCCAGGGGGTTCATATGTTTTCTAGGGGAACTTTTGCAACCGTACTAAGCCCAAGTAGAATGCTGTGGCCATGGCACACATGGGTCCCCCCCAAAATGGCAGGGTTCCTGTAAGGATTCTCAAACGCCAAAAAGGGAACACCAAGCTGCTAAAATTAATTCACAAAGAATCACCGAATTTCAGGTACTGGAGCTTCATCATGGGTGGCTTCATTAATTGTACTTTTCCCTGAACTTTCGCCGTTTCAATTGCAGCTACACATGTTCTGTTGGAGCCGAATTATCCAATAGCCTGGGCGCAGTGCGGGTCCCAAGTCCTTTCTCCGAGCATCAGCCTCACTTTCAAGCAAATGGAGAAATGGGCTTGAATAGTTAAACACATTGTTCTGTGCGCTAGGCGTGCAACCAAGTGTGATGCTGCGCCACAAGCGACTGCACAGCGAAGTCGCATTCCACCTTGACCATCTGCATCTTGATCGCACAAAAATGTGGTCCCTAATGTGCTGCAACCGCGTGAGCCAGTGAATCAACGGTCGTCCTCCACCCCTGCTAGAACAAACATGGCAGCGCACGGGAATCATAGCTGGATCTGCTCGCATAGTCACCCGAGATCACGCGCCAAACCCTCTGAACGCGGGTTTCAATCGCTCAAAGCTTTCGCAAATCAGGCCTCAAGTCAGGGACCTTCAAAATAGGTCGCTCGTTGCCCATACGGGCGAGTTCATAAACTGGGTTCCTGAAAGGATGCACTTGCTCACAAAGGGATCCCAGCTTCTGCAGTTGTTTCTTTGCCGGCTAAGACGTCTAATTAAGGGCCATAACTTTCTAGTACACTGACTCGAGACGCCACACCCGTGCCTCTCAGCTTGACTACGAAACCTCCGACCTGGCGACAGCTTTCGAAACGCCCTTTTGAGGGTGCCCGTTTTAGGGTGGCCTCAAAGGGAAACACGGAAACCGCTCATTTTGGCTGTCCGCAAACCCGTACAACGTGTTTAGGGGAGACCCGTGGAACACCGCCCCCTCGAGACAATCTGTTTCATTGCGAGGCCGAAGATCGCAAACCTCGCCAAAGGCTCGAAACGAAGAACACAAAGTGGCCGGCTTCAAACGTTTAAACTATTTTAACATGGGCGGCCCCGTGTTTGATACCGCATTCAAAGAGGAACCAAAGCAAAACTGGCCTTGGTTCTCCCGAGCAAAGCCGGCTCTGCCAAGTGCGGAACGAAGCACTTAGCCCATAGGAAATTCCAAGAGCTGCCCATAGGGGCCATGATCTTTCCATGCTCCCATTGAGTTGGATAAGTCAAGGCTTCACGTGGCAAACTTGCAAGGACTCCTGAGCATCCACAGGCTTTTGGTACGCTTGAAGGGTTGGGGTCAGCTTATCGTTAACCATGCTGACCTTCAGTGGAGAAGGCTTGGCTTGGGGTTTGTTTACCGCAACGTGAAGCTGGGATCAAGGCTTGTGAACACGAGTCTATCGCACCAAACGGCAAACCGGACTTTGGAGCCCTACTTTGAAACATCCCTCAATACCGGCGCACCGGCCAACGAATCCGCCGGCACTTCCAAAACGTCAGGGGCATGCAACGGTTTCATCCGTGCTTCCAAAACAAGGCCCACTCTTGGTTCGAGCGCGGAATTCTCAAACAACAGAATCATCACGTGACTTAGCGCAGTCAGCACAACTTTTGCCCAAGGCTGCATGCTCGGTCGGCCTCCTACGCGGCTACCCATCACTATGGGCCTCGAGTTCATGCTCCCTGGTGTTGATGTCCATGTCCAACACCTCTTGGTCAGCACCCTGCAACTCTTCGTAAACTTCCAGGGTGACGTGGTCTCTCTTCATGCATTTGCAAATCTGAACGCTCTCCCGCTCAGGGTGGATCAACGCCTCCCCCTGTAAATCAATCAGCTTGCGAGCCTCAAACTCTCGATTCTCTGCAGTGCTCAAGATTTTGCGCACCTCTTCCTTCAAGGAGTTTGTCTCTGCCTCACCCAAGCTACACGAAGCGTTGTCTCCAATGCTTGCCAAGCGCTTGTGATTCTCCTGCATGAAAGACTCAAGGTCACGGCTCTCAAGGTCAGGGCTCTCAAGGACTTGTGATCCTTCTTCCAACAGGCTTCGTTTGCTGCATTGGGCTCCTGTGAACTCCGCAGCAATCTGTCTTGTTTGATTGCCAGTCATCCGCAGGTAGGGGGTGGATGACAGATTCTGCTCGGAATCTATCACCACAACGGCACCTTGGTTCGTTGATTTATTGACAAATGTGATCGACTGTTTGCAGGATATGTCATAAAATCCCTCTCTTTAAAAGTTGGTACAGCTGGGAACCGCCAAGGCACCGGAATTATCTTCGCCGGGGAGGTGGAACATCGGTGGGTCCCATGCAGGCGCTACAACAGGTCGACGCCCGTTGAGGCAGAAAACGCCCACGTAATCTGCAGCAGAAAAGACTGTGAACACATAGTAGCCCTGCAAAGATCGAGTTTCCCCTCCTCTTTCGATTTGCTCATGTCCGCGCCAGATTGCGTGGAGATCGTTGGATTCTAGAAACTGTTTGGCGATATCCATGCCAAACTTGTGTCCGATGCCCCTGGGAGATTCAAGCCAGCCCTTCCCGTCGTGAGGATCAGCCCAGGTTAATGAGAAAGCTGTCTCTTCGTCAAGACACGTTCCGAAGCGGCCGGCTTTCCCCCGGCACTTCTTCACAAACTCCGGGCTGAGGCCACCATGCACAAACATGTACTTCCCGGGCAGCACTGCGACGTAGGGCAAATGCTGCACCACGTCTCTGACGGTGGATGGCCTCATCTTCACCTTGTACCAGAGTTCCGCCTTGAAGCCATAGCGGTCCCAAATTGCAGGCATCTCATGATTGCCTTGCAAAAGAACCAAGCCTTCAGGGCAGCGTGCCTGCAGGGGCAGCTAAGAACAGGAACTTCAAGCAATTGGGCACAGGGATTCAAACAACAAAGCTTTGACTGGTTGCTCTGGCTAGTTGCGCGGTTCGTTGCTGCGAGTGATCCCTTACCTTAGTGGTGGGTTGGTGGGTGGCTGGGGGTCATATCATGTTTTGGCAAGCGTGTGGCCACCGTTCATACTATTTGGAAGGCATGTGTGCACTGCTGGGCGGGTGGGCTTGAGGTGCTGATGATATGATCTGGCAGGTGTGTGGGTGTGTGTCTGTGTGTCTGTCTGTGTCTGTCTGTGTGTCTGTCTGTGCCTCTGCGTGTGTCTGTGGGTGTGTGTGTGTGTCTGGGTGTGTGTCTCAGTGTGTCTGTGTGTCTCTGTGTGCCTCTGTGTGTGTGTGTGTCTCTGTGTGTGCGTCTCTTGTGTGGCTGTGTGTGTGTGTCTCTGTGTGTGTGTGTGTGTGCGCGCCTGTGTGTGTGTGCGTCTCTGTGTGTGTATGTGTCTCGGATGTGTGTGCGTCTGTGTGTGTGTCTGTGTGTCTCTGTGTCTGTTTGTGTGTGTATGTGTCTGTGTGTCTCTGTGTGTGTTTGTGTGTGTATGTGTCTGTGTGTGTCTGTGTGTGTGTCAATGTGTGACTGTGGAATTCTGTGTTTGTGTGTTTTGTGCATGCGTGCGTGCGCGTGTGTGTGTGTGTGTGTGGGTGCGTGCGTGCGTGCGTGCGTGCGTGCGTGCGTGCGTGGGTGGGTGGGTGGGTGGGTGGGTGTGTGTGTGTGTCTGTGTGGGTGTGTGTGCGCGTGTGTCTGTGCGTGTGCGTGTGCGTTTGCGTGCGTGTGGGTGTGTGTGTGGGTGTGCCTGTGTGTGTGTGTCTGTGTGTGTGTGCGTGTGCGTTTCTCTGTGTGTGCATGTGCGTGTGCGTGTGCGTGTGCGTGTGCGTGTGCGTGTGCGTGTGCGTGTGCGTGTGGGTGTGTGTGTGTGTTTCTGTGTTTGTGTGTGTTTGTGCGTGTGTTTGTGTGTGCTTGTGTGTGTGTGTGTGTTTGTGTGTGTGTGTGTGTTTGCGTGTGTGTGTGGTGTGTGTTTGTGTGGTGTGTGTGTGTGTGCGTGGGTGTGTGTGTGTGTGTGGTGTGTGTGTCTGTTGTGTTGTGTTGTGTTGTGTTGTGTTGCGTTGTGTTGTGTTGTGTTGTGGTGTGGTGTGTTGTGTTGTGTTGTGTTGCGTTGCGTTGTTGTGTTGTGTGTGTTGTGTTGTGTTGTGTTTGTGTGTGTTGCGTTGCGTTGTTGTGTTGTGTGTGTTGTGTTGTGTTGTGTTTGTGTGTGTTTGTGCGTGTTTGTGTGTTTGTGTGTATGTGTTTGTGTGTTTGCGCGTTGGCGTGGTGTGTGTGTGTGGTTGCTTTTGTGTGTGGGGTGGGGGGGGGGCAAGCAAAAACTTGTTAGGCATCCAAAAACATATTCCTGAAGATTGAAAAATTTACAGTGGGTCAAGCAAGACTTCTCGTAGATTTACTATGAAAAAAGGAAAGTCAGAGGATACAACAAAAAGTTCGTCATCAGGGATCAAAAACAACTTCTTCATTTCGTGGCAGGCGTAACACTTTCGGTACAGGTTTCGTGGCAGGCGCAGCACTGTCGCAAGGTCAGGTACAAATTTCACGGCAGGCTGTCGCAAGGTCAGGTACAGATCTCGTGGCACGTGCAGCAATTTCGCAAGGTCCGGTACAGATTTCGCCGCAGGCGCAGCACTTATGCAAGGTGCGGTACAGATCTCGTGGCAAGCGCAGCACTTTCGCACGCGATAAAGAGAAAGAGCAAGAGAAATAGACATGGAGGAAAAGGGAAGGAAAAGAAAGAAAGAGAGAGCGAGAGAGAGAGAGAGAGAGAGAGAGACAGAGCGAGAGAAAGAGAAACAGAGAAAGACAGAAAGGGAGAAAGAAAGAGAGCGAAAGAGAGACAGACAGACATAACAGACAAAGAGGGAGAGAGAAAGAAAGAAAGAACAAAGAAAGGGAGAAGAGAGATAGCGAGAGAGAAGGGAAACAGCTAAAGAGAGAAAGAGAGGCAGAAAAGGAAGTTTGCACAACACGATGTCGCAGAATTAGCTTGCGGAACCCTGCCACGGAAGCTAGGCTTAGGTGGGCTGACGGCCACGAGTCTACGGCCATAAGCTTTTTCGCAGGAAATCCACATAAGTTTGAGTGAGACTGTAACAGCAAGTCGGAATGTTACTTGTGGAACTCTGCAAAAAATAGAATCGACGAAGCGATGATTCCACAAAGGGTGCGATAATGTTGTAAACATTTGAAAAACACGGCGGGGGATCGAAGAAGCGATGGTTCAAAATAAATCTGTGTAAACATTCTAAAAACCAGCGGCGGGGTTTGGGGGGAGGTGAGTCCCAAACCAAGGGTAGCTTATTCTGTAGGAACCGGCACCCCTGTGATAGTTGGCCGTCTTTCTTGGTCCCTGAATCTATTCCGTGGAGTATCCAGTATGCCAATATTGGATGGAATTGATCTGGATGTTTCTGGTTTGACTGATGCTTCCACTGTGCGGGATCATACACTGAAGACGGTCCGCTTTAGCTTCTTTTCCTTGTGCTGCAGACTGCGCAACGAATGAGTGTGAAAAGAAAGGGCCTTGAGCCAAAGGTCTGTGAAGCAAAAGCAAGCACAAAACAGACACACATTTCTGTTGAGTGTTGACACTGAATTAGTATGGTCATGTTGGCTTCTTGGCCTTTGCCATCTGTGGGGTGCATCATTGAGCCCGTAGGCAGTTCTTCATGCGCGCACCAATATGTGGCGGCAATCCAATTTTGGTAGGAACTCGTTTGCTCTCCAAGGAGATGTGGTCTTCTGGTTCATGACAGATGTTCCAGCCTTTTCTTGCTGTTGCTTGGATCGCAAGGCGGAAGCCACTCCTGGATGCAGGAGGACTGCGCGTCTGCTGTTCTACTCGTCTTGGGATCCTCGAAGGACCCAGCGGGCCTTGGCTTTGAGAAGGTTACCGTCTTTGTCTCGCTTAAGGGAAAGGACCCAGCGACTGGTGACCCAGTTCCTGGCATTGATCTTACGTGTTTCGACTAAGTCGAACACTTCATTACCAAGCCAAGATTCGCAACTCCAGCAGCATAGCTTCAAGGAACTGCTTCTGGTACGCTCTTGTCTCAGAAGCTGTTGCTTCCTTCCGCTTCTTGCCAATGAGTGCGGATGTTGTTGAAGCCTTCAAGTCGGTTTGAAGGTTCCTCTTATACTCTTCTGAATAGGGCAGGGTTTCGTTCCATGTCTCTCGAAACTGTACAGGATCCTGTATTAGCACAGATCTTTTGGTCGGCTGTTGTGTGTGACCATTGTGCTTCATCGAGAACAAGGTCTGCTTCCTGATCATCGTGTGCTCTTGTCCTCTGGTATATCTCATGGTTCTCTGTGAACTTCCAGTACCCGATGAAGTTGGGATGTGAGGGATGAGTTCCTCCTCACTGTCGAATTGCACCGGTAAATTGGCTGGATTGTTCGGGTTGGTGCCGGATGAAGAGGCAGGTTCCTTCCTGGGTGACGACTCAGGTCATTCATCATCAGGCTTGGACTGCTCTGCGATGGTGGGGCCGATTCTTCTTGGTCAAGATGCCGCAGTTCAAGCTCTTCATCGTTGTCTTTATTTGCTGGATTCGGAACAATCGGCTGAGATGGTGCGGCTGAGGCGTGTGGTGGGTGTGGGGGCGTGTGGTGGGTGTGGGGGCGTGTGGTGGTGGTGGGTGTGGGTGTGTGGGCGTGTGGTGGGTGTGGGGGCGTGTGGTGGGAGTGGGGGCGTGTGGTGGGTGTGGGGGCGTGTGGTGGGTGTGGGGGCGTGTGGTGGGTGTGTGGGCGTGCGGTGGGTGTGTGGGTGTGGTCGGTGTGTGGGCGTGTGAGCTTGTGGTGGGTGTGGGCGTGTGGTGGGTGCGTGGGCGTGTGGTGGGTGTGTGTGTGGGCGTGTGACAGTGTGGTGTGCGTGTGGGCGTGTGACAGTGGTGTGTGTGTGCATGGGCGTGTGACAGTGTGGTGTGCGTGTGGGCGTGTGACAGTGTGGTCTGAACTGGCAATTGTTCATGTTTTTAAAGTTTTTTTTGCATTTTGCATTTTTCCAGTTTTTCGCGGGCATTTGTTGCTCGATTTATGTCGCTGAGGTTGACTTTAGAGAAGTTAATTGTTTGGGTTTCAAGTTGTTTTTCGGTGGGAAGGGGGGGGGGCAGGACGGGACAATAATAATGCGCCTGTGTGCCCATTGTTGCGAAAGGCTTGATTCCTGCAGCATCGTTTTTCGCTGGCTGCTCGCCTTCGGAGAGTCGGAACGGAATTATTTTTGTTCATCTCGTTTGTTGGCTCGGTGGCTTGCCCCGCCCCACCCCCCCTCCTCCCAAGCCCATCAATGATTGACGTTGTTGCGTTTGCTTGCGCGGGTTCGGTGGCTTGCCCCGCCCGGCCCCCTTAAACAAATCCTTTCGCTGGTTTTGGCGGCATGCCCCATCCAGCAATAGGTGCCCTCCCCCTTTCCTCCAAAGTGAAGCCCGCCAACGTTGAATTTTTGCGTGTGCTTGTGCTTCCAGTTCGTGGCTTGCCCCGCCGCCTACACCTTCTGCAAGAAAGAAGAATAAAGGCAAAAAGAGTCTCACAGGAAAGCTGTGAGCTGACGAACGGACATGCGTGATGCGACGCAACAGCCGCCCAAGTCGTATGTTTCTTGCGGATCATATTTTTCAAGCGGATAGATGTGTTTTTGCAGAGCAGATATGCTTGTTGCGGTGTGCGCTTGCGGGTTCGGTGGCTTGCCCCGCCCGGCGCCCAATGACTTACGCTGGTTTCGGTGGCATGCCCCATCCAGCAGTAAGGATTCAGAAGGGGCGCTTCTGAAACCGCCCTTTTCCGGAAGCGTTCTCAGAAAGGCTTTCGTGTGTAAGGGCGGCTCGAAAAACAAGACTTTCGTGGGAAGTCTGCCTGCAAGTCTTGTTTGGTTTTTTGAAATTTCGGCTCTGACAT